ATGCATGCATGCATACATACATGCATACATACATACATACATGCATGCATCCGTACATCCGTACATACATACATACATACATACATACATACATACATACATACATACATATGCAGGTTTTATTGTGCAACATGTTTTCCCCATAGCGTTCCTGAAGAAACCCTCAGACTGAGACCCTTGAGACTAGTAAACAGGTTGACAGACTCCCCGCCTTTGGCTGCGTGAGTTTACGGTTTAGAGTTTAGGGGTAGGTGCTGGACGCTGAATGTGACGCTAGGCAAGAAGCAGAACCAGCAGAACCACGCCACATGGACCGAAACCCTAAACCCTAAACCCCTAAACGCGAAAGTAGAACTCACATATCAAACTCAACATGCAAGCTCGCTGCCTGCAGAAAATGGCCCAAAGGCACGGGCCGCTCAAGCGGCCACGGCTTGCCGCAGAGAGCAGGCTCTTCGTCCTTACTTGCAACTAACCTAGTTTCAAAATAGGGGTAACCTAAACCCTAAACCCTAAACCCTAAACCCTAAACCCTAAACCCTAACGGGGGACTGATGGTCCCAACCCTAAATCCTAAACTCCTAAACGACAAACCCTGTAGGTACCCATGCACATCGAGGCAACTTTGGCCCCTTGACTGAAGCCTCTAAGTTGTAGCGGGTGTCGAATGACCACGGCCGTTTGCGACTCTAAACCCTCAAGGCCCCACTCCCTAAACCCACAATCCCTGAACCCTAAAGCAATTATGCTTTGCAGCTCGCGTAGGTTTGCATCTTCGGAGCCTAAATAAGCTGCAGAAGGACTGAGAGATGCCTCGGATGCCTGAATATCATCCCATGAAGGTTCAGGGTTTAAGGTCTAGGGTGTAATGCAAGCACATAGAAAGGTAGGGTAGCCCAGCTGTATTGTCCGGGGAGCGCAAACTGGCAGGTTCATGTCGATGTCCGAAACGCAACAAGAACCCAATACTGGGCCCCGAGATTGGGAATGTATGAACAGGGTTCAAGTAACTAAGTACTCAGATAGCAGCAACTCGAGGACCGAATGGGCCTAAGCAAATATCATTTAAAGACTTGGGCCCTTAGGGATCGGATAGGGCTCATCGAGGGGTTCGGGGGATTTGGGACAAGAAGTCCGACGTAACTCCCACACTATTAATCAACAAAGCCCTGAGGCAAACCCTACGAACCCTTGTAGAGTGCGAAAAGCAGTTGCAGCTCGCCTGTACAGCTTCTGCTGCCAGTCGCCAGTGAAGGCGGGGCGGTGCAGGCGCTCCTTCAAGTAACAGTTGGCTAAAGATTTTGGGTTCTAGGGCTCTTCCCTAACCCTAAACCCTAAACCCTAAACCCTAAACCCTAAACCCTAAGCCCTAAACCCTAAGCCTAAACCCTAAACCCTACCCTAAGGCCTGAACTGCAGATCGACAGACTTTCAGGCTGGAGTTTGGTTTTGGAAGAGGCAAAGCTGATGTTGCTTGGCTTTGTTCTCTCTCTTCCGTCTGCGTGGGGTTCTGGGATTCCGAAATCCTGAATACCCAAACCAACGAACAGTTTAGGATTAGGGTTTAGGGTCTATAGGATCATAAATTAGAGGTGTTGGTTAAGGATACTCAAGTTACGGCTGTCGAAACCTCAAGCCTCACCTGTTGCCAGGTTCAGGATGCAAAAATTAAGATCCCAGAATTCAGAATGCCCACCGTCCCAGCAAATCCGAATACCGAGGCATATAAAAAAGCGAAGCCCTTAACCGGACGCCTTAAGCCCAAATGAACTCTTCAAACCCCCGAACCTGAGAACAACATCCGTCTCTTTCCTCCGAAACCCGTAGCCAAAACACACCCCATTTATATCCGGTGCTCCTTCGTCGGGCGCTTCCGTGCTCAGTCGCATAGGAGAGCGGAAGAGGCCATAGTAGCGCGGACGACGGTTGGGAAGGCCTCAGAAACACAGGCCACTTGCTGCTTTCGGATACAGTTCATGCTTTCGGATACAGTTCACGCATCCAAAGACTTCTAATAGTCCGTTTCAAGACTCGTAATTCAGCAAGATAACCCTCAACCCATCGAAACCCTAAACTCCAGGGTAACTCTCAACCTATGTAAACCCTAAACTCTAAAACGTTTCTAGTTCTACTGTTGGCCTACTTGCTTCACTTCGTGAGCCTCCGGCATTGTGTCTTTGTGTCTGGGAGGTTTGTCGAGCTCAACTCTAAACCGAAAGCTTTCAATGATTCGGGGCTTAAGCACTGCTACCCTAACAGACTTTCGGTATAGTATTTGCAGTGTACCATAGATAAGGTAAGGTTTGAATACTGTTTCATCGTTACAGTACCAGTACTTAGAGGCCCAGGGAACTTAGTAAGTCGGTTATAAGTAGGGTTATAATTGCGGTAACTCCATTTAGGGTACTTACAACTCTACTTATAACCTACTTACTAAGTCCCCTGGGCCTCCAAGTAGCTATTGTGATTTCAGACTTAGGGCAGCGCGGCCTTGGCGTTTTGGATGGCCCGGAGCGAAATATTCGGGTTTTGGTTTAGGGTTTAGGGTTTAGGGTTAAGGGTTTATATAGGGTTTA